GTGGGGAGTAAGTGGTCATATAAGGCTCCATTTATTCGCGATTCTCCTCTCGCTTACCAGCCTAGTCGTAAAGTTCAAAATCGCTCATCAAATTTGATGATGAATTTGGGCTGCGTTTGGTTTTCAAAATCTATATCTAATATAGTTAAGTATCAGCTTTTTATATGTCAATCGACTAATTTGTCCAATTGAAAATAATAATAATTAAATAATAAATTTGAAAATAAGTCGAAATAAAAATACATATAATATATATAATTATTATTATAATCTATTTTTTAATTACGGTTCAGTGTTAACACGATTTGTGCTATAGACAAAAAAGAAAGAGTTAATCCTGAAAATAGATCTAAATTCTGAGATATCGGTGCCATATTAGATTTTTTTATTGCCTTTGTAGGCAGACGAGCATACGGTCCACCTGATGGTGAGTGGTTACCGTCGCCCATGGACTTCAGCAATGCCAAGGGCAGGGCCAAGCCGCTGCCTACCGCTTAATACTGGAGGGGAGCTCATTCCATAGCCGGATGGTACGTGGCAAAAAAGACCTCTGGAAACGCACTGTCGATGACCGCAGTGGCTCCAGGTAGTATTTTGATAATTGAGCAATAATATTCATCAAACGACCTCATGTTATGCGTTGCCATTCGAATAATATTAGAGACGTTATTTGAATGAAATTGATAAGTCGACCTCATTTGAAATTCGTAGCGACATTTATATAAATAAATATATTGCTGTGAAATATGCAATAAAAAATAAAAACTTATTAAATTATTTTAAGAGAAAAGCTAAGTTTTCTTTTTTTGAAAGTATCTGTACCAGCTGGTGTCGCGTTAAAAACGAAAAAAAAAGACGCACATTTTTCCGTGACGAAATATCTTCAATGACGCAAGCACGAGAATACACCTTATTGGAAGAGCGTATCGCCGGTGCACCATTTCCCAAAAACATCACTAAGCCTACAACAATCACTCCTATCGCGTTCATCTTTAAGTTAATATTTCTATAACCCGGGGCGTACAATTTCACAAATCTTCTTGCTGACCCTATTGCACGGGGTAAGCCGACGTTACCCGAGCGCTTACGAACTTAGCCAAAATGGCGGAAGGTTTCCCGCGCATGCTCACCCCTATTCACGTCATCTGAAAATAGGGTGGTTCAATATGAATGTATTTTATCGATATAATACTATGCAGCTGATCTTAAATGATATTAAGTCGGACTTACTTTGTTTTGAATACCGTATCATTATAAAATGGGTGGTTTTTTTTTTTATTGCTTATATAAGTGGACGAGCTCACAGCCCACCTGGTGTTAAGTGGTTACTGGAGCCCATAGACATCTACAACGTAAATGCGCCACCCATCTTGAGATATAAGTTCTAAGGTCTCAATTATAGTTACAACGGCTGCCCCGCCCTTCAAACCGAAACGCATTACTGCTTCACGGCAGAAATAGGCAGGGTGGTGGTACCTACCCGTGCGGACTCACAAGAGGTCCTACCACCAGTAATTACGCAAATTATAATTTTGCGGGTTTCATTTTTATTACACGATGTTATTCCTTCACCGTAGAAATCAATCATGAACATCTGTTGAGTACGTATTTCATTAGAAAAATTGGTACCCGCCTGAGATTCGAACACCGGTGCATCGCTCAACACGAATACACCGGACGTCTTATCCGTTAGGCCACGACGACTTCATCTTCATCGTGGTACGGCCATATCTCTCAAAGTCCAAAATCCCAAGAACAAGCGGAAAGCAATGTTGATTTGCTAAAGTCACTTAAAATTTTAGTTTATACCTCGTGACTTATCATGGCTTTAGCTAAGGCATTTACAGTCTACCCTGCGCCTCTCACGAGACGATTAATAGCGCGTTAAGCTGTCACTGCCCAAAAAGAGGATACGAAATATTTCGATCTTAATTTCAAATGATGTAGCGTGCAGAAGCACCAGCACAGACGCAGCCCACTGAGTTTCTCGCCGGATCTTCTCAGTGGGTCGCGTTTCCGATCCGGTGGTAGATACTGCAAAGCACAAAAAATATATATATACCAGAGCTGCCATGCCAGAGATGAGTGATTCCGAATGATCTGTATTATTTGTAGCGGCACTACAGGCCGATCACATCAAATAGATATAAACTGGTGCGATTGTAATTTTGGCCAATTAATAATCAGTTCGCATCGACAAGAAGCAGTCGTCCTTACCTGTGTGTGATATTTAATTAAAACTACTTTTTCGTTTGCCGACGAATGTCGTCCGTGTCAAAATAAACTGCAGATTCGAAAAATCGGATATAACATCGAGGGGTAAAAGGTTAATTTTGAAGTCGTTGTGGATAAGACGTCCGGTGCATTCGTATGTAGCGATGCACCGGTGTTCGAATCCCGCAGGCGGGTACCCATTTTTCTAATGAAATACGAACTTAACAAATGTGCACGATTGACTTCCACGGTGAAGGAATAACATCATGTAATAAAAATCAAACCCGCAAAATTATAATTTGCCTAATTACTGGTGGTAGGGCCTCTTGTGAGTCCGCACGGGTATGTACCACACTGCCTATTTCCGGCGTGAAGCAGTAATGTGTTTCGGTTTGAAGGGTGGGGCAGCCGTTGTTACTATACTTGTGACCTTAGAACTCATATGTCAAAGTGGGTGGCGCATTTACGTCATAGATGTCTATGGGCTCCAGTAACCGCTTAACACCAGGTGGGCTGTAGGCTCGTTCACCCATCTAAACAATAAAAAAAAAAATTGGTTTAAGCGACAACTTTACAGGAGAGCCATTCAAAGTTTAAAATTTGTAAAAAATAAGTACCTCTATGTATTCAAATACAAATATTTGAATGGGGTAAACTTAATTAATGTTCGATTATAAACATCGCATACTAATACCAAACTAATACCAAATAAAACGGACCTTTAATTACAAAGATAAATAAGCCCCGACACATGAATCGATCTTCACCATTATTGCTCCATGATAACGCGAGACCTCATACAGCACGAGAAACCGTTTTATCTCTACAGGAACTGCAATTAGAAACCATTCGTCACCCTCCGTATTTACCAGACCTTGCTCCAACGGACTAGCATTTTTTTCGTGATTTGGACAATTTTCTACGTGATAAAAAGTTTTCTTCAAAGGAGGCAGTACCAAATGCTTTCACACAGTTTGTAGAATCTAGATCACCAGAGTTCAATCGGAAAGGCATAAATGTCCCTCCTATTAGGTGGCAGCAATGTATAGATAATAATGGTAAATAAGTTAACATTATTACATTATTTATTGTATTAGTTCCTTTATTAATTTTATATTAGTAGTTGACAATTTTAATTTTAATAATTTTGATTTGGTTTCATTTTTGTTTTTAGTTATTCTGATAAATTGTAATTTTAATTTTATTGTATTTTGATTTAGATGTTATGTAATTGTATGTGAAATTTTATGGGCTTAAGTTGCCTGAAATAAACGCATTTCATTCATTTCATTTCAATATTCAAATATATTAAATGAAAAAAAAAAAACGAATTTTAATTTTTTTGGTCAAAATCGGCAATTTCATACTTTATCCCCCAATATTATAACTAAACTAAAATGATTGACGCAGTATCCGCGATGGACGTTGTCAATTAAAGGTGTGAAAATATGACAAGGGTGTTGAAATTTGTCCCTAAGCGTTTTAATTAATAAAAACTATATAATTTTTGTGCTAATGCTAAGAATAGCTTACCTACAGCTATATGCGAAGTATACTACTACTACTACAAGTATCGTTGATGCTGTAGACTATCTTTGTGGATTTGCCCCTCGTGCTCTCGCGTTGGAGCTGTTCTCTGGATATTTTTAAAGGACACACGAAAAAACGTTTGCTGTAATTACGGATTTTTTTTGTTTTATTACACACTTTTACACACAGTTTTAAAATATTATCTTACTAGCTTTTGCCCCAGGACTTCGTCCGCGTGGAATAGTAGTTACTTTGGCATAGCGCTAAATTTTACCCGCCTCTTCATTTACGTAGAAAGTGAAAATATTTTTGAATAATAGAGAATGTTAAAGAGCTATTTAGGGTACCAAACGTATCACGCTTTTTAACCGACCTCAAAAGAGGAAGTTATCAATTTGACAATAATTTTTTATCTATGTATGTTCACCGATTTCTCGATAATGCTTGAACCGATTCTGATAATTATTTTTTCTTTTTTTTTGTTCGAAAGGGTAGACTTCCCGAATGGTCCGGTAATCATCAAGATTTGATGATGGGATCCTGTAGAAATCCAGAAAAATCTATAATTGTCAAAACCTATCTTGAAGTGATTTGGGTGTTTCAATGTAGTAATGAATAACGTATTTGTTTGGATAGGGATTAACATAATCTTTATAAAAACACCTTCACAAATAATGCTTTATTTTAGAACAAATTTGGTTAGCATAAAAAACCTTAGAGTGAGCCAACCTTTAAATATAGATATATGCTGTCATGGACTTTTTTTAAGCTTTTAAAGGGGATCAATTTTGTCATTCATTATTTTAGCGTAACTTTAACCGTTTCCGCAGCGCACGCAGCGGAACCTCTCAAAAGGGAAAAATACCCCGATTTTGAAACATTCTTTATTGGTGCTCCGTAAAAGTTAATTCAAAGTATGCACTTGGAACAGCGCCCCTAGCGGCAAACGTAGGCAAACGTTCCAACTCCATACAAATTTGAGTTAACTTTTACGTTATCGAGAACGTTAAAAAACTCGCACTAAACAGACCAGACAGAAACTAATTATTGCAAATGTGCACTGTGAAAAAACCTCAGATAACCCATCTAGGCGTCACATGAATTTAGTATCGAATAATAACAAAAAAAATTGTTAACTATCGGGCTTGCGACACAGACTCTTTACTCTCGATATAAAACTAAAAAGTTTTAGTGTAGTATCGATAAGTGTCGCAGCTCTATCCACTCGCGTGATGGTGCTGACTTGTAGTCTGGAAAGGGCCATCGTCGCGGACGACTGTGTGTCGCGACCTTAATAAGAAATCGAATGAAATTTCGGATTTATTTTGGCCTCATAAGAACACAGCGCTTTGAACGAAACAAATTAGAATAAAAATGTAAGTAATTTTTTTGAAGAATCATTGAATAAATACACATTGTGTAATAAAAACATATTGCGCGTTTTATCATACAATAATGCAGAACTAATTCAATTTTATTATTTAATTACTTTAACATTTTGATTAATCACATATTATACTATGTATATATTTAAAAACAAAAAATACTTTTATAGTCGCACTAAAAACACCAGATTCGAATTTTATTTTGAATTTAAACATACCTAATTTAAAAAAAAAAAAAGATTCTTTTTATAGTCTGTATTTTTCAATTACATGATATTCCCGCTTATTAGATTGTATTGTAAAACATCTGAGTTTTGTATGAGATATTGATATAATTTCGCCCAAGGGTATACAGTACCCAGCGAAGGTACATTATCGATTGTGCGCAGTGAGACGTCTGTCTGCAAGGTTTGCGCTGTTCAGTTGGTTAGGTCAGGTCCTTATCCCGCGTCATATGTCCATAGGCACGTGGGAATGTTGTCGTAATGTCGTAATCAACTACATATTTTTTGTTTTATCGCAATTTCTATAGTTCTAATAAATAATAATTAAAAAAAACTAACAAAATACGCTTTTATAGAAAATCCAACAAAAAAATTGAAAATAAATTTGAATTAAAAATAGTGTAAGAACAAAAAAATTTATTGTAAAAAAAGCGTGGGGTGCATGGTATCAGTAGTTATAAATATTTTATGAACAGATATGAGTAGAAGGGTTATTTTGTTAATATCTTGAAAAGCACCCCACGCTTTTTTACAATAAAATCATTTTTTTAACACAATTTTGAAATTAAAATTTATAAAAAAAAAATTATATTTTTTAGTTGGATTTTCTATAAAAGCGTATTTTGTTAGTTTTTTAAAATATTTTTCATTTTTTAGTTGAATTTCAATTATTTCAATTTTTTTTTTATATTGCATTGTCATCGGTACCAAATTTTGAGTTAATCCGACGTTTTGAAGGGGATCAAAATCATGTTCAAAGATTCCGTTACATACATACGTCTGAAGTTAATAAAAGCGGATTCAAAAGAATTTACGCCGTGACGTCCATCTGAGAAACAATTATAATACGCTTTTATTAGCTTAGTACGCACATATATGTGCTTGGTATGTGTGTATGTGCTATTTAGACCTCTGAGGACAGGAAGACGTGGAGAAGCGCTATATCAAATGATCAAAAATTCAAGCCAGACACGACCTTCAGCATTGAAGACACTGACTAAGAAGATGTATGGATATCTGTATTTAAACAATATTTTGAACGCCATTTTTACTTACTTCAAAACGGTTAATTATCTTGAAAACTTGCACACGCGTCAAGGACCGATGACAAAGTAATAATTACTAGTGGTCCCGCAGTAGTCGAAATTCGACTATAATTAATTGAAATTATAAGTTTGAACATTATTGTGGTTCTATTGTCAAAGACTATTTATTATACTTCTATAATCACAGATTTCGCCAAGTGTACACTATAGACAAATAATATTATAGATAAACAATATTAGCCTATTCTTAATTTGACCACAGACTTTATGCTATAACAAAAGTTTGACATAAACAAAGAGTATATACATATATGTGTGTGTGTCAAATACATGGTAGTGTGTGATGTCTTTTTATTGATTTAATTTATTATGAATGCATAATTTAAAAACAAATTAGCGTTCTGCACTCCTTCCCTATATTCTCTTTAAGTGTGGGAAATTTCATACTCCTCCGTCTGCGCAATTTTCGTAAAAAGAGGTACAAAGTTTTTGCTTCACGTATTAATATAGGTATATAGAGATACTATAATTACGCTCTACTCTCCGGATCAGACATTATCCTGCGCTAAAGAAAAATGAACGTAATTGCTAGTTCGCTATGATATTGAATCGTGTTTAATTCAGTTTTAAGCAGCATATTACCACATTTTTTTTAGCAAATTCACATTATTTTCCTGCGACTTTTAGGTTCAGACTTTGCTATTTCGGCCTCGGTAGAGCATGGTCCTTCGTTTCACACACACAAATAAAATAATAAACAAACAGACTAAAACGTGGAAGTATTTTTATTATAAATGCTCTAAACAAAAGAATGAAATATTTAATACATACAAGAATATTTAATATCATACTCGTCTATACAAAATTTGCGTCTGTATGTTTCTTGAAGATTCCGAAACGGCTGAAGCGATTTCGATGAAATAAATTAACAAATCTTCAGATATTAGCCTAGTGAGTAATCCTGTCAAGTTTGGTAGCCATCACATAAAAGTCAAATCAAAGATCGCCCAACAAAGCGGACCGGATTGGTCTTACAAGTACTGTATAAGAATAATCATTGTTTTTCGTGTGTGACAAATTATGAATGAATGATTAAATACGCATCTAATACAATCACATGTGGCTATCCAATAGCTATTAATATTAAATTAGACAACATATTATTTACAACATAATACTTTGTTTGCTGGGGTATTCAATAAAACCGCAAGAATAATCAAATCGAGGGGTGAAAGGTTCTAGGTATAAGCGACATTTCCCTTAATACGCGACCTCTATTTTTGCAATTAAAGGTCTGTTTTATTTGGTATTAACAAAAACAATTTCTAATTGAATTTTAATTAATTTTACCCCATTCAAGTAACTGAAGAAGGTTTTTTTGTTATAATATTTTTCCAAATTTTAACCTTCAAAAGGCTCTCCTGTAAAGTTGAAAAAATTTCGCTTAAGCCAAATAGCATTTCAATCCTCAAAATGATTTTTCTAAATAGAAATAGACAAAACACTTAGGTACCATTGTCTGCGCTGTTTGTTTGTCACTAACGACAAAGCGCGCAGGCCACATCACGTGAAACCGGTCACCTTCCTTCAGATAAGGCCAAAGACTCAATTGTATATAACGGCTGTTTTATCTAGAAACTACCCACCTAACACCAGTCCTGGCCAGAGCACTTTATTACTTACTTTTTTTATCATTTTATTACTGGTGGCAAGACCTCTTGTGAGTCCGCGCGGGTAGGTACCACCACCCTGCTGCCTATTTCTGCCGTGAAGCAGTAATGCGTTTCGGTTTGAAGGGTGGGGCAGCCGTTGTAACTATACTTGAGACCTTAGAACTTATATCTCAAAGTGGGTGGCGCATTTACGTTGTAGATGTCTATGGGCTCTAGTAATCGCTTAACACCAGGTGGGCTGTGAGCTCGTCCACCCATCTAAGCAATAAAAAAAAACCGGTACCAAATTTAGGAGTTGGGTCTATGGGCTAGTTTGCACTTCGACCGAGAATGGTGACCGGTGGAGTGCCTTGAACGCCACAGTGGATCAGGAGGATCCAATAAGACATGCTTAGGGTGACGACTTTGCTTTGTCCAATCGCCTGGGTCGGAGGTAGAGACGGCCACCGTTAAAGGATTATTATAGCAACATCATAGTCGGTTACTCTTGGCAGAGATTTCGTGGTCATCTGGTCTTCTTTATTATAGAGTAAAAGGTAGACCTAACAAAAAATGGATGGACTGCGTGAAATATGTGTAAGAGGGGTGTGAGCGAAGGAATGGCATATGATAGAGGAGTATGGAAGGAGAAAACATGTTGCGCCGACCCCAGGTGACTGGGAGAAGAGCAGAAGAATGATTATGATGTGGAATCCTTGTTTATTAAAGCCTTGAAAGCTGTTCTCCATAATTCGCCAACTGAAGCTTGGCGCAAGCACTCGTTAAGTGGAAATTCGGTAAGGGTTTTCACTTGGTCAATCCAGCGCATGGGGCTTTGTCCACGAGGTCTTTTACCATATTATTACTTCTCCGCTACTTTTTCGAAGAAATACTGTACAAACACAAGCAACCAATTTAAGGATGTGATTCCTCTGAAGATATCCACAAAAGAATGTACATTCATCTGGTCTGCATTACCAGCCTTACTTACTTAACACGAAAATCTAATGAAAAATGAAAAATTATCTTGTTTTATATTCTCGTCACGTTAATATTTCAGATTATCATTCATAATGCGGAACCCGCCATACGGTTCACGACATTTCGAACAAAGCCTGTGATAAATTTGCTAACAAAGCTTGTTTGAATTTTATTGTTATCTGAGATTCGCGAGTCAAATCTCCTATTCATACTTGTGCGTGAGGCATGTGTATATTAATTAGTTCTAAAAATGACGACGCTTTACAAACGAAAATAGTGATTGTAGGAAGAGTTGTGGGCCCGCACGGTAGGTACCACCTCAGTTATTGCTGCGAAGTAGTAATGCCTCTTGATGAGTGGGGCAGATATTGCACTGACGGTAGGCAGCGGCTTGGCTCTGCCACTGGCATTGCTGATGTCCATGAGCGACGGTGACCACCTGAGGTGGGCCGTATGCTCGTATGTCTACAAAGGCGTTAAATAAAATAAATAAATTTTAATAAATTTGAATTGGGGTGTTTTTCAGGATATTATCAAAGTAAGCCTTTTACTCATATCTGTTCATAAAATATTTATAACTACTGATACCATGCACCCCATGCTTTTTTTACAATAAAATCATTTTTCTTACACTATTTTTAATTCAAATTTATTAAAATTTATTTTCTATTTTTGATTGGATTTTGTATAAAAGCGTATTGTGTTAGTTTTTTGAACTATTATTTATTTTTCATTTTTTAGATGTACATATTTCAATTTCTTAATTTTTTTTTGTTTTTCATTGTTTTTTTTTTTCAATTTTTTTTTAAATTGAATTGTCATCGTTCCTTAATAAGTATACCAAATTTCGAGTTAATCCGACGTTTTGAAGGGGGTCAAAATCATGTTCAAAGATTCCGTTACATACATACGTCTGAAGCTAATAAAAGCGTATTAAAATTCGACTTAGAAATAATGTCTCAAGATGGTGGCGGCATTTAGGTTGTTTATGTCTATGGGCTCATTCCTTATTTTTTATTGCTTAGACGGCTAAACGATCGTACCTTGGATTAAGTGGATACAGGTAGATATCACAACGTGAATACCGCCACCCACCTTCAGACATGAGATCTATACCTCAATTGTATCGAATTACGGAAAATATGTTAATATTTTTGTGTGTATGATTTTTGTTACACAATTTTATGCCTTGTCGTCACTACCGCGAAAATCATTTGTAATCACGAATTAAGTATATCTTTGGAAAATTAGTAACTGCCTGCGGGATCCGAACACTGGACCTGTCGCATCGCTCGATACGAGTCGCGCAGGCCTTCTTATATCACAGTCCAAGACGACATCGAAAAATATAATCTTGGACGTGGCCACAAATAAAACTCAAAATAAGGCCAATCACATTATTTAATTGGTCGTCCTAAATTTCAAAACAGCGGTCTACCAATCTGACATTTCGTCTTTTCGCATTTAAAAGTGTACAATTTCCAAAAATATGTATTCGAAATTGAGTTAATATGCGGAATCATTTAGTATCACCAGTATCTTTCTCATAAATACATACTGTCAAAAGAGCGTAGTTTATAGTTTTTTTATTTATTTTTTATTTTTCCTATATTTTGTCTACTATTAACAAAATTAATATATGATTTTATCTTACTTTAAAAGACAGATAATGTAACTAATGGAAAAGATAAAAAAATGTTGCAAAGATGATTCATTTTAAAAATATCACATGGTTTAACCTTTAAAACACTCTCCTGTAAAATTAGTAAGTTTTGAGATTATACAATTTTAATGCGAGAAGACGATTTGTGAACAATTCTGAATCCAGATTTTCCATGTTTACGTCACTGAAATACTAGAATTGTGGCTACTGTCTATTCAACGGCCGTCTGGTGTAGTGGTAAGTGACATGGTCACTACACAGGGGGGTCGCGGGTTCGAATCCCGCCAAGGGAAGATATTTGTATGATAAATATAAATGTCTTTTCCAGGGCTATGGATGTCTATTAAATATATATGTATGTGTATAATAAAAATCTTACATTTATATCCGTTATCTGGTACCTGTAACACAAGTTCTTTACGAACTTATCACGGGACCCGTTAACGTGGTGTGATTGTTAGTAAATATTTATTTATTTATTTATTAAAAAACAATAAAAAAAAAACAATAAAATGTTTAAAAATCAACCCGATAACATTAATATGTTTTAGTTTATATAACACTCCGACAACGTATACAGGTCACGCCTAGTCAATACTATGAATAATAACGTCGTGCGAACCAATTATTTGATGTTAGAAGTTGAATGTATCGATCAATGACCTAATAAAAAACTGCGTACCTTCTGATATAAAGAGCAAACTTTTAACTAGCATTAGAATAAAAAGATATCAACAGGATGCAATTAAAGAATTTTCCATGTAGTCCTCGTGGCCTAAAGGATAAGACGTCCGGTGCATTCGTATCTAGCGACGCACCGGTGTTCGAATCCCGCTGGCGGGTACCAAATTTCCTAATGAAATGCCTACATAACGAATGTTCTCGATTGACATCTACGGTGAAGGAATAGCATCGTGTAATAAAAATCACGTAAAATTATAATTTGTGTAATTACTGTTGGTAGAACATCTTGTACGCACGGGTAGGTACCACCTTCGCAACGCATTACTGCTTCACGGCTCAATTAAGCAGGGTTAATTGAGCCGTGAAGCAGTAATGCGTTTCGGTTTGAAGGGTGCTTTTCAGGATATTATCAAAATAACCCTTCTACTCATATCTGTTCATAAAATATTTATAACTATTGATACCATGCACCCCACGCTTTTTTTACAATAAAATCATTTTTTCTTACACTCTTTTTAATTCAAATTTATTTTCTATTTTTAAGTTGGATTTTCTATAAAAGCGTATTTTGTTAGTATTTTTAAACTATTTTTTAATTGTTTTAATTATCAAAATACCAGTAAAGCGTTCACGTGGTCCGGGGGTGGCGATACGCGAAGCCGAGGGGGCGTGCCACAATATCAATACCCCCGTTTCAGCCCGCCCTTGACATACTTGGGTATAAAACTGAAAAATAAGCATCTATAAGTAGATTAAATTGTTTATTTTAGGCTAAATGTAGAATGGCGTTTCTTGAAACTCGACAAATAACATTTTAGTCACCCGCGATCAGAAATAAATATTATATAGAAATTAATTGAAAATAAATTAAATGAAAGGACTGGCAAACTATCGGCAAGGACAGAGATCAGTGGAAAGGACTGGAGGAGGCCTTCACCCGAGGAGGGGTCCATATCTAATAACAAAAAAATTTGCTCTTACTAACATTTAGACAATAAGCATTAATAAATAACTAAACACTAACAAAAAAATACCACATTTGAAATGAAAGTTAAGGATAAGGAAATACAGGCTTTTTTATTTTATTTATTTATATAGAAATTAATTGGATAATCCAGGAGAAAGTCATTAAACATAGGCCTCGACACTCAGCATTGAGAATAATTATCCACAAAAGAATATCGAAATTCTAAAATGAAAATAGTAAAGGCGAGATAAAATCGTAAAAGCACTTTCAAATTACGTCTTTGCCTCGCGAAAACCGAAGAAAGTATAATAGTCTAAGTTTATGTTATAAATAAATAAATGTAGATATAAAATTGGGATCGTGGTGCATAAACTAAAAAACTATTCAATTAACTAAATATAATAAATAATACTATTCCATCTATACTAGGCTAATATTATAAAGCTGAAGAGTTTGTTTGTTTGAACGCGCTAATCTCAGGAACTACTTGTCAGATTCGAAAAATTCTTTCAGTGTTAGATAGCTCATTTATTGAGGAAGGCTATAGACTATATAGCATCGCGGTAAGACCAATACAAGTGAAGCACCAATAAAAAATGTTTCAAAATAGGGGTTTAAATAGTTCCTTAACATTCTATAATTCAAAAATATTTTCACTTTCTACGTAAATGAAGTGGGCGGTAAAATTTAGCATTAAGCCGAAGTAACTATTCCACGCGGACGGAGTCGCGGGCAAAAGCTAGTAAATAATACAATAAAACTATTCCACTGCTGCGCTTTTATTGTTTTCTTCCAAAATTTATTGTGTTGTTATAATTAAAAATTAACTGACACCTTTTTTACGCCTGCTAATTCAGTCGTCGCCATAGATAGTACATAAGTACAGATAGTATATCTGTAGACAATAATATTCTTTTATTTTAATATTCGTAAGTGTATGTCAATGTAATAAAGCGTTAACAAAAAAAATGCGTTAGTATAAAAAAAAAACTAGGACATTTAAAAGAAATTAAAACAAATTGATAAATTTGCACGTTTTGAAGAGTTATTGCTATCTATTTTAATAGATTTTATTTAGGTCGATGTGTTCTAAGATTCTATGTAGTCAATTTTTATTTTAGAATTCGCTTGGGCGTTCTCGGTGGTGCACGTTTGGCAATTAAAGGCGGTAAGGTTTTATTGTTATTTTTTTTCTTATTCTTTTTACTGGTGGTAGGACCTACCTCCGCGCGAGTAGGTACCACCACCCCGCCTATTTCTGCCGTGAAGCAGCAATGCGTTTCGGTTTGAAGGGTGGAGCAGCCGTTGTAACTATACTGAGACCTTAGAACTTATATCTCAAGGTGTGTGGTGCGTTTACGTTGCAGATGTCTATGGGCTCCGGTAACCACTTAACACCAGGTGGGCTGTGAGCTCGTCCACCCATCTAAGCAACAAAAAAAAACCACCTGTTGTCGTTTAAAACAGTTGAAGACAATGTGCATGATCACAAACGCGTTACTGACATAACACCTAACGAGTAATGGTGGGCTCACACTTAAATTGCTTTCACGGTTCATTCTAGTTTGTTTATTGTCATTGTATTATTTACTACTTTGCAAATCAAATCGTATCGAAGGTTTCATTATGTTTAGGCTTCGCGAAAGCCGTGGAAAATCTATGCATATAAATAAAATTGGAGTGTCTGTTTGTAATATTGAAATAACCGCTTTTTACTATATGCATATGAATATACGTTACATACACCAAAATATTTTTTTTTTTTTCAATTTTTGTCTGTCTGTTTGTTTCGGCTAATCTCTGGATCGGCTGGACCGATTTTGACGAGACTTTCACTGATAGGTAGCTGATGATATAAGGAGTAACTTAGGCTACTTTATTTAGACTAGCTTCGCCCTGCGGCGTCACCCGCGTTACGACAATAACCGCGGGTAACATCGCGGGACTCAGTTATCAATAATAAAATTTAATGTTTCCGAAGCGAAGCGAGGGCGGGTCGCTGGTATTATATAAAATAGAGTTCTCATTAATATTGTAGTACCGTGGTTCTGTCCTTCGAACAAAATTAATGACTATTTTCCTAATTCGCGCGTAGTTAGAATAGCCCCATAGGTTGCCAACGATTAAATAAGGAAAAAAAAATATTTCGTGGACTTTTGGTGGGAACGCGAGGAGCGAAGTCGTGTGAATTATTTTATTTTGCCTACTGAGCATACGGCCCATCTGAAGGTGAGTGGTTACCGTCGCCCATGTACTTCAGCAATGCCAAGGGCAGAGCCAAACTGCTCCCTACTGTTAAGTACTCTCCACAAGCCTCGTTTGAAGAAGGACATGTCATAGCGCTCGTTAAACACCGTGGACGGGAGATCATTCCTCAATAGATCTTCCAAAAAGTCCACTGAAAAAGACTCACTCAGTAAATAATCACCATTTTACTGAGACTATATTTCATTCTTTATCATCTCTTTTCATTAAATTTCATCTCAATTCAACTTCATTTCATTTAGCTTCATAATGTTTTTGTTGAAACAGAATATACAAAAGATTAGACTGTATTGTGTAATTTTTTTTATTGCTTAATCAGTGGATGAGCTCACGGCCCACCTGGTGTTAAGTGGTTACCGGAGCCTATAGACGTCTACAACGTAAATGCCGCCACCCACATTAAGACATGAGTTCTAAGGTCTCACTTTTAACAGTACAACGACTGCCCCGCCCTTAAAACCAAAACGCATTACTGCTTCACGGCAGAAATAGGCAGGGCGGTGGTACCTACCCGTGCGGACTCACAAGACTTTCTACCACCAGTAATTACGCAAATTATAATTTTGCGGGTTTTATTTTTTATTACACGATGTTATTCCTTCACCGTGGAAGTCAATCGTGAACATTTATTGCGTATGTATTTCCTTAGAGAATGCGGAATTAATTAACCGTTGCATCGCTTGATACGGCTACACCGACCGTCTTATCCTTTAGGCCACGACGATTTAAATGATACCTTCGCCTATTCCAGTTGGTAAAATAGAACTTCTACTATTTCGCGCCAGAAATGACTAGAGACCTGGTTGTCTCTTACGAGTTTTTTTTTTCTTTCAAATTTCGCTCTGATATCCTAACCAGTATCGACCGAATAAAAAAAAAGTGAATTGTAGCTTCGGATTGCTATATAAGTGTATTCTTGTAGTTTTTAAACTTTTTTTTTTGTTTCAGACTTACCGGTGTGACCAGGCCACTGACGTACAAATAAAATGAGGGCTTAAACGAGCATCGCGGAAACAATTATTAAAAGCATTACAATGTCCCTATAAACCGTTCTGCAACTAAATATTTATGTACAGATCAATCGACAACGTCTTCAGAGATTCATTGAAGCTACGACAGAAATTACTGAAGAGAATAAAAACGTATTTCAAAGAAATCGAATTCATTAAAAAAGACGCGATACGATATTACGAAGATTATAATGAAACAAAACAATAGCGTATTATGAACATATTCATAGGTAACCAGTATCATTTAAAAAATTTAGTAAAACTAAAATAAGGTTGGGTACGCGAGATATATTTAGCACAAAATGGCGGCCAAAGCTGAGACAATAGGGCCGCGCAATGGCCACGAATTGGCGCCATTAACAACGCGGGCTGACGGCTCTGAACGACCCCACGGAGTTACCATCGTCCTCCAAGGTTCTAGAGGATCATTGCACCGCGACGGACCGGACGATGACAGGGCTGCCTGGTCCGGTAAACTACAGTTCTTTTTGTCGATCATTGGATACTCTGTGGGCTTGGGTAACATTTGGCGGTTTCCGTATCTGTGTCAACAAAATGGCGGAGGTAAGTTTGACGGCTGTCAAAGTGTTTTTTTTTACGTAAACATTCTTCCCTGGCTGCGCGCGATAAAGTTTCGATTGCTTTTCGAGCCAAAAAAATAAATGTCATGTTTAAACACAATTAAAAATTCCGCAACCTGATTATGATACTGTCAAAATGATAATGACATCACAATACATAGATATGGCTTAAATTATTTATTACTATTACCAATTCTAATATTACAACACTTTCTACTACCACACCCAGGAGAAAAATTGGAAGCTGTGTTATGCTTTGGCTTGAGGAGGATCTGAATTTTCATATACAATAAGTTACCGATAAAAATAAGCATAAAATAAAAAAAAAAACATGTAGACAGGTTGGGTCTCTTACTAGAAAAATAACTTGATTTTTTATTAAAAAGTCTAAGATTGTAGAACTAGCGTGTGAGCATGATTCGTATATTTTTAAACGTGACAAACAACCTTACATAACAAAAAAAATAAGAATATCCAGAAATCCGTGAATTATGGACAATGACATTTTAATACAAAGCACAGATACGTTTTTTCTAGATCAGAATAAAGCAAATCATCATCATCATCACTTCACATTAAGTTCAAAATCACTTATTCAATTAAACAAAAACGAAAAACATTTCGATTTATAAATGATTTTACTATTATTGTGAAAAATAATAGTAAGTAAGTAAGTACGTAAGTAGTAACTAGATAGGTATGAGAAAACAATTATAGTCTACAGTCAAACAAGCCGTCTACCCAATGCCAGTAAAAGCTTGCAGATATGATGTAACCACGTAGCACCCCAGTAGACGGTCTACGGCATTCGTAGCTGCGTCCAATCGATGACGCTACGCCCGCGCTCATCTATATTTAGATTTGAATCCTACGTTTTAAAATGTCAGTTAAAATTGTAAACTCGACCTAAGACTGTAAAAACAAATAATAGTTTAAAAAAGACCCACAAAATACGCTTTTATAGAAAATCCAACTAAAAAGTAGAAAATAAATTTGAATTCAAAATAGTGTAAGAAAAAATGATTTTGTTGTAAAAAAAAGCCTGGGGTGCATGGTATCAGTAGTTATAAATATTGCATGAACAGATATGAGTAGAAGGGTTATTTCGATAATATCCTGAAAAGCACCACGCGCTTTTTTACAATAAAATCATTTTTTCTTACAGTATATTTAATTCAAATTTATTAAAATTTATTTTCTATTTTTTAGTAGGAGTTTTTAAAAGCGTATGTTTTTAGTTTTTTTTCAACTATTAGTTATTTTTCATTCTTTAGTTAAATTTCAATTTTTTCCGTAAATATTTTTAAATATTGAATTGTCATCGGTCCTTAATAAGTATACCAAATTTCGAGTTAATCCGACGTTTTGAAGGGGGTCAAAATCATGTTCAAAGATTCCGTTACATACATATACGTCTGAAGCTAATAAAAGCGGATTAATATTCACGCTTTAACCTTCGGTTTGAAAATTGGAATGGTATTTTAATGCAATTACGCGTCAAAGCAATCATGGCTTCCGGGTTTTTAGGACCTCAATCCGTAGAGACCCTAGCTCTCGAGTTTAATTTTCTGAACGCAATAGACAGCTAATTATTTTCAGGCGCCTTTCTGATTCCGTTCCTCATCATGTTGGTCCTGGAGGGTGTACCTCTGTTCCTGATAGAGATGGCCATTGGACAGAAGATGCGTCTCGGAAGCCTCGGCGTTTGGAACACCATCCATCCCTGGCTGGGTGGTATCGGCATATCCAGCTGCATAGTGACCCTATTCGTCGCTCTGTACTACAACGTGATCATAACCTGGGTTTTCTTCTATCTATTCAACAGCATCCGGGTGAGCGAAAGCACTTTACTCTTCTAAAATACTAGAGGCCCGCTCCGGCTCCGCTCGGGTCTTTAACAAAAATTTCAACGATATTTGACGTTGTTTTTTTTTTTTAAATAAAAGAACACTTATTGCGGCAACTATATATGCTGTCGCGACATTTTTTGTAAATAATAACTTGTTCTACAAAGTCGTAGTACATTATTTTATTCTATCATCAATAGTTTTCGCAGGGCACGCGATGTAAAGAATATTTTATGTAATTTTTTTACACCTTGGGTTACATTATTGAAGCTTCAATATGGATACCAAATTTTTTTCAAAAAATATTATAACCTATGTCACTCGGGAATAGTGTAGCTTCCAAACAGTGAAAGAATTTTTCAAATCGGTTCAGTAGTTTCGGAGCCTAATACAAACAAACAAACAAATCTTTCCTCTTTATATTAGTATTATAGAAAAGCGTTTTAAAGACCTTGTGAGATAACTGTTTTTTTTTTATAACTAGGAACAAATCATGCATCATCCGGTGGTAGGGCCTCTTGTGAGTCTGCAAGGGTAGGTGCCACCACCCTGTCTATTTCTGTCATAAAGCAGTAATGCGTTTCGGTTTGAAGGGCGGGGCAGCCGTTGTAAATATACTGAGACCTTAGAACTTATATCTCAAGATGGGTGGCGCATTTATGTTGTAGATGTCTATGGGCTCCAGTAACCACTTAACATCAGGTGGGCTGTGAGCTCATCCACCCATCTAAGCAAAAAAAAAACCGGTACCAAGTTTAGGACTTCCTGTGTTATGGGTACTGGTATGGTACATATCAAATCAAATCAAGTAAGTGAAATGGCGTGTATGGGGGCCTCCATCGGCTAGACTCTGTTGTAGCACGAAGTTAGCCAAGCTCCAACGACATTACGATCGTGTTGGCATCTCTCGGGAATCGTGCTGCGCTTCGTTTTGCTACCAAACTAATAATCGTCTCCGACATAAATAGGGTGTTACAAAGCTACCCGTCAAGCCGAAAGGAGGTTAAATAGGGCCTTATAACGAACTAATTCACACTATTTAAAAACGGTAGTAACACTGTATAATACATACCAAAAAAAAAACATATTTTTACTGACGTGCAATCCCTATTTCAGTAAAATTAAAGAGTAAACTACGCGGAATGTACCTACATTTCTACCTAATTCGCGGAATTACAAAAATATGAAAAAATTTGAAATTGATAACATATATTTTTTTCCATATTGTCATTTTTTGAAGCCAGTGGGCACTCAAGTATAATGACATCCTTGTATTGAGGTAGCAAACATTTATGAATGAAAAATAGAAAACTATTAAAGTAGAGAATTATTAGGCAAAATAGATACGTAGGCCTTTCTGTTAAATAGACTAGTTCCCTGACATGACAGCTTATTAGGGTTGACAAAATAATGGCTTTGACAATTAATTATATTTTTTAAGGGGTATTTTACAACACGTTGTATATACGTTTTAAATATATACATACAAATATAGATAATAAATGCCCAGACAAAGAGCGAACAAACTTGTTTATCACACGAATGTTTGATTTCGGAATCGAAATCATGATCCTAGCTACTGTGCCACTGAGTCAGTAAATCTGATCCTTACAGCTGACAGCAGATCAGCTGCCCTGGTCTAGCTGTCCCCAGGACAACGGGACAGCTGAGGCCGAATGCAACAAGGCCTCAGCAACAGTTTACTTCTGGTACCGGGAGGCTTTGGACGCGGCGCCCAGTATCGAGGACCCGGGGGTGCCGCGCTGGTGGATCGTGCTCTACTTACTGCTCGCTTGGGTTATCGTGTTCTGCATAGTGATGAAGGGAATCCAGAGTAGCGGGAAGGTAATGTGCCTGCAACTTTTTTTTTATTGCTTAGATGGGTGGAGGAGCTCACAGCCCACCTGGTGTTAAGTGGTTACTGGAGCCTACAAAACATCTACGACGTAAATGCGCCACCTACCTCGAGGTATGAGTTCTAAGGTCTCAAGTATAGTTACAACGGCTGCTCCACCCTTCAAACCGAAACGCATTACTGCTTGACGGCAGAAATAGGCAGTGTGGTGGTACCTGCCCGCGCGGACTCACAAGAGGTCCTACCACCAGTAAAAAACTTTCCACACACCTCTTAACTGCTTTACTTTTTTTATGATTGAGAGTTTACTGGTGGCCCTGAGGCCTTTTCAGTTTCACAAGGACAGGTGGACGAGCTAGGGCTCAGCCAGAAGGGGCGGGATTTGCTAATCAAGCGCCTCCAAGGGAAACCTAACAACTCAAGAGTAGCTGCTTCGCGAATAAATCTACTACCGGATTGGAATCGCGACCCGCTGAGAAGATCTGGCGAGAAAGGCTGATGCTTAGGTTGCACGTTGAACTCTTTGCCGAGTTCGACGAGTACGGTTACAGGGGTCCCTACTCCTAGTGTTAGAGCGGAAGGCGTCTATTGCAAGGATTACTGGATCTGATGGATCCATAAGGACGTGAATACTTTACTGCCGATTTGTCTATAGCTCAGACTACTATATGACTGTGACGAATCTTAAAGATATACAGGTTTGATTTCGAAGCTGAGGTCTGATGTCACACGGTCTGGCCAATCAGCAGCTCCGCTTAATCAGACCTCAAAGAATAACTTAATTTGTGAATAGCTTCAAAAGACGACACTTATGTCGTCAAGATTCCGAATTCTGCCAGTAATATTATTTCATTGCCCTTGTGGCAGATGAGCATACGGCCCACCTGATGGTAAGTGGTTACCGTCGCACATGAACGTCAGTAAAGCCAGGGGCAGAATCCAGCCGTAGCCTACCATATTTTGGGTGTTACCATCCCTCATTGACTCAGCAATGCCACAGTCGAACCACTGCCTTCAGCTGAGTAGTCTCCATAAGCCTCGTAATAAGAAAGATATGTCATAGTGCTCGAGAAACAGCTCATTCCAGGAGGAAGAGGGGAGCTCTTCCCAGAGCTGGATAGGATGTCGCAGAAAAGATCTCTGGAAAGGCACTGTAGATAAACGTAGTGGTTCTAGGTAATACTGGTTAACAGAAGGATGACCAGTAGTCATACCTCCTACGTAACCGTCGCACCACCATCATTGAATGCTTAAGTTTAAACAAAAAATATTTTGCATAGTTCATCGTTTCCAGGTGGTGTACTTCACGTCTCTGTTTCCGTACGTGGTCCTGACCATCTTCTTCATCAGAGGCATCACGTTGCCTGGCTCCTCGGACGGGATCCTTCATATGTACAAGCCGAAGGTAAGGACTTCGGGGCAAAACTGGGCCGTCACAGTTTTCGCCTGTTCTCGACAATCAAATCCGTAGTCCACCACCGGCTTAGAGATATGCGATCGATGTTTCCAAGAGATGGTATAATCGATGTCATATCAAAATAAAATATGCAATTTTTTGTTTTTATTTTGTTTTATTGCTTAGATGGGTGGATGAGCTCACAGCCCACCTGGTGTTAAGTGGTTACTGGAGCCTATAGACATCTACAACGTGAATGCGCCTATAGTCTATAAATGGGCTATCTAACACTGAAATAATTTTTCAAATCGGACCAGTAGTTCCTGAGATTACACGTCATTTCGGATCCTCCCGATCCACTAACGGTGCTTCTAGGTACCCCAAGCACCGATCACCATCCTTGTCGAACCCGTCGCTTGCGACGAAAGGCTCGACGAGTAAATTAAACCCTCAGACACAGCCCACTGAGTTTCTCGGCGGATCTTCTCAGTGGGTCGCGTTTCCGATCCGGTGGTAGATTCTGCGAAGCACGGCTCTTACTAGGGTTCGTGTTAGCAGCGTCATCAGGTTTGAGTCCCGTGAGCTCACCTACTAGTAAAAGCTACACTGGTATAGCCTCTCAAGGCTCTCAGCTTAGGTAGGAAAAAAAAAACTGAGATTAGCGTGTACAAACAAACAAACTCTTCAGTTTTATATATAGGTATAAAAAAAATGCCTAGCGGCAAACGTAGGCTAGCGTTCCAACTGCATACAAACTTGAGTTAACTTTTACGCTATCGAGAACGTTAAAAAACTCGCACTAAGCACACTGAACTTTGTTTTTCAGCTGGAAAAACTTCTGGATCCAACCGTCTGGTTGGATGCGGCCACTCAAGTGTTCTATTCCTTCGGTCTGGCTTTCGGTTCGCTGATCGCGTTCGGCTCGTACAACCCTCCCAACAACAACTGCGTGAGGGATGTGCTCCTCGTGTCCGTCTGCAACGCCCTCACCGCCATCTACGCGTCCGTGGTCATCTTCAGCATCCTCGGCTTCAAGGCGTACACCATGGTCGAAACCTGCATTACGAAGTGAGTACCATAGAATGACGCTAAGAATTAAATTTGACCCAAACGATAAGACCCCTAGTACATTCAGAAGAAGCGAAGCGACTGCGCCAGTGTTCGAATCCCGCAGACAAGGACCAATTTTTCTAATGATATACGTACTTAACAAATATTCACGATTGACTTCCACGGTGAAGGTATAACATCGTGTTATAAAAATCAAATAGGCAAAATTATAATTTGCATAATTACTGGTGGTAGGAGCTCTTGTGAGTCCGCGCGAGTAGGTACCACCGCCCTGCCTATTTCTGCCGTGAAGCAGTAATGCGTTTCGGTTTGAAGGGTGGAGCAGTTGTTATAACTATACGGAGACCTTAGAACTCAAATCTCTAGGTGGGTGGCGGCATTTACGTTGTAGATGTCTATGCGCTCCGGTACTCAACACCACGTAGGTCATGAGCTCGTCCACCCAACTAAAGAATGAAACTAAGTCATTCTCTAGCAGACTAAATAAAAGAAATGAGTAAGTTTGTTTAGTTTGCTTTCGTAAGCCATTAATCTGATTTTAATGAAACTGGCTGGTGCTTTTGAGAAATTGGTTTTTTTCATTGAATTAGCCTTCTTCAAACGAGGCTTGGAGAAAGTACTCAATGGTAGGCAGCGACTTAGCTTGGTCCGTGGCGTTCCTGGCGTCCAAGAGCGACGGTAACGACTCACCATCAGATGAGCCGTATGCTCGGCTGCCTAAATGGGCAATAAAAAATATATTTAAATACGCTATTGCGAAGCGTTACCGGGTTTAATTGGTTCTTCGTAATCTTTAGACCAGTGATTCTGAACCTTTTTTTTGTTGCGGCACATATTTAACGATTTCAAAATTAAGCGGCACACAAAGAAAAAGATAAAAATTATTTACTTACTACCGAATCACATACATTTTCCAATTTTAACTAAAGAAAAGGTGCACAACACGTTTTGTACGCAGAAGTGGCAACTGTGCGCCGACTTGAGACATATTCCTATTGCTATGCACGCCGCTTCATAATAATTTGGCACTAAGAAAAACCGCGTTGCAAAGCAAATAATAAAATAATTTATTTTTTTGTGGATTTCAATATATATTCATGTTAAAAATATTTTTCTTTTTAAATGATATAATTTAATAATATTAACATTATTATATATTTGCAAAATTTGGCGGCACACTTTTGAAATTTGGCGGCACACAAAAGTGCCGCGGCACAGTGGTTGAGAACCACTACAGATAATCTCTATCTCTATCTCTTTAATCTCTATTTCATCGTTTTAGGGAAATTAAAGTGCTGGCTCTCAACCACATCGGCGGGTTCACGCTCAACTCCACTCAAGATTACTACCGCGAGGAGTATCCGAAGCTGAACGAGACCCTCGTGGCTGCCTTCAACTTGACCGGCTGCACCATGAGCAGACAGCTAGATGAGGTGATTCCCGAATTATTCGTGTTCAAACGTGCAATACACAATCCTACTATATAATACAAGCTTTTGCCCGCGACTCCGTCCGCGTGGGATACTTACTTTGGCATAACGCTAAATTTTACCCCCACTTCATTTACGTAGAAAGTGAAAATATTTTTGAATGTTGAGGAAGCTATTTAAACTCCTATTTTGAAACATTATTTATTGGTGCTCCACTTGTATTGGTCTTACCGTGATGTTATATAGCCTATAGCCTTCCTCAATAATTTTAAAGAATTTTTCAAATCGGACCAGTAGTTCCTGAGATTAGCGCGTTCAAACAAACAAACTCTTCCGCTTTATTTTAAGTATAGATTATAATCGCGAAAGTTTGTAAGAATGTATGGATTTATTGTTTGTTATTCTTTCACGTAAAAATTACTGGATGGATTTGGGTGAAACTTTACATAATATAGCTTACACATCAGAATAACACATAGGCTATATAATTTATAAGGATATTGTGTGAATTAATTAAAATATAACGATAAGTCTCAAGTAAGTTGGAAAAAAATCTGCCATCTTATTTTCATAATCTATATAATAGGTTGGGGAAAAGTGTCTTCGCATTTTTTAAGAAAATTCACAATATTTTTTAATATAGTTTATTTACATTTAACTAAAGTATGTAGGTACCATTTTGTTTGGTAACTTTTTGCCATCTTGTAGGTAGGAACATGATCCCATTGCTATAGAAATTTTTGGGGCTTCTAATCAAAATACCGCGACAACTGGTTTTGGCAGTCCTCTCGTGATGTTAACCTGACACTGCCTAAGAATTCTGAAGAGACCGAAACAGGTAGAAATCTAAAGGTGCTAGGTCAGGACTATACGGCGGATGCATTAATACCCTCCCAGCCAAGCTTTCTTAATTTTTGCTGAGTGGCTAAAGATGTGTGAGGTCTAGCGTTATCATGATGAAAAACCACACCTCTTCTGATGATTAATTCTGGCCGTTTTCTCTCAACTTCTTGCTTTAATCTCATCAGTTGTTCGCAGTAGAGTTCAGAATCGATGGTCCTACCTGGTGGTAACAGCTATAAATATTTATTACAGGCTGCCGAAGGTACAGGGCTGGCCTTCATAGTGTTCACGCAGGCGATTCTGAAGCTGACTCCAGCTCCTTTCTGGTCCATAATCTTCTTTCTGATGCTGCTGTCCCTGGGTCTGGGCAGCCAGATTGGTATCATGGAAGGGATGCTGTGCACCATTTTCGATATTGACTTCTTCAAACGACTCAGCAAGCCAGTTATAACCGGTGAGGATATTTCGCTTTTTTTATTTTTTATTGCCCGAATAGACAGACGAGCATACGGCCCACCTGATGGTGAGTGGTTACCGGAATGCCAGGGGCAGAGCCAAGCCGCTGCCTACCGCTTTACCGAACGAAGTGTTAATATTGACACGTATATATCAAAGTTGAGATCCCGCAGGTAGGCAACAATTGTTCGAACATCTTCAGTCTCCGAATCTCACATGACCCTTCAGACGCGGGAATTTTGTTTTGAATTCCGTTTTATTCTAAATAGAGGTAAGCGCCAATTGACGTGTACGAGTGACTTTCATAATGAAGGTATAATAAAAAATAAAAATACCCTCAAAATTTGAAAATCTGTTCAATTACCGGTCGCGGATATTGTCCGGCCCATTTCTGTCGCAGAACAGTAATATACATTTCCGTTTGAAGGGCAGGGTAGCCGTTGTCCACTTGTGACTGGACCTCGTGTCTAAAGGGGACGGAATTGAGGTTCAGATATCTATAAGCTCCGGTGACGGTTCAATATCGAGTAGGTCGTAAGCTTCGTGTATCTGGCGCAATAAAGTAACAAAGTCATAGCGGAAAGTCTTCTTAAAGGTCACGACCCTCGGCTTTGATGAATGTGCCCAAAACTCTCTGCGTTCTGAATCGAAAGTTAATACTTCAAATCTTTGGCATATATTTTTTTATTGTTTAGATGATCAGACGAGCTCACAACCCACCTGGTATTAAGTGGTTACTGGAACCCATAGACCTCTACAACGTAAATGCGCCACCCACCTTGAGATTTAAGCTCTAAGGTCTCAGTATAGGTACAACGGCTGCCCCACCCTTCAAACCGAAACGCATTACTGCTTCACGGCAGAAATAGGCGGGGTGGTGGTACCTACCCGTGCGAACTCACAAGAGGTCCTACCACCAGTAAATAATTATGAATTACGTAAAATTCTGTTCAGGAATTGTCTGCTCGTTCTGTTTCCTCGTCGGTCTGATCTTCACGACCGGAGCCGGGGAGTACTGGCTGAAGATGTTTGATTCGTTCGCTGGCACCATAGGCCTGGTGGTCGTCGCTCTGCTGGAGATGGTCTCCGTGATCTACATATACGGACACGAGAGGTATTGTCCCCTTCCTTATAGTATTCCTTGTAGTTTTCACGAGACATAGACGTAATTAACCCGTTGAACGCCATACTGCCCACCAGTGGGCCTAGCGTACTATTATATATACCATTCAGGCCAAGCCGAAATCAGGGAATCAGTAACTTTATCGACTTGAGATTATCATTCTAAAATTTATGAAAAGCGATAATTTGCACGGAAGATTAAGAACTCATGCCTCTAGGTAGACGGCCATGAGCCCATCTAAGCAATAAGTAAAATTTATTGTCTTGAGGGCAGATTAATGTACCATATCTGAGTTCACTATGGACCATGGACGTCAGCAAGTTCCACAGTCAAGCCACTGCCTAACAACAACACTTTTCAATCCTCATCTGTCATGCGTAGGTTCAGCAACGACATATACGAGATGACCGGGTACCGGCCCGGGCTGTACTGGCAGGTGACTTGGCGCTACGTGGGGCCCTTCATAGTCACCTGCATCCTGTTCTCGTCACTGGTCTTCATGCTGATCAACCCGCCGACGTACGGCGCTTGGGACGCTAACGAGGTGAGAACTGCTTTTTATCATCATTCATCACTATCCTGCCCTTCTCCCAGTCACCTGGGGTCGGCGCAACATGTTTTCTGCTTCCATACTCCTCTATCATATACATTTTCTTCGCTCACTCCCCTCTTACCCATATCGTCTTTCACGCAGACTTCCTCTAACATATTCATTCCGTATTCTATCCATTCTCGTTACTCCACACATCCATCGCAACATTCGCATCTCTGCTGCATGCAATCGCCTTTTATCCTGAGGTGGGAACTGCTTTTATGAAGATTAAATCTAGGAAGCTTTAGATTGGCAGATCGGTGCATCAGCTCACAGCTTACCCGGTATTAAGTGGAATAGATATTCAACCAATTTTTGCTCCAAGGATCGAGAATTGAGAAGTCAAAAAACTCATATACCCACAGACAAGACCCTAATTTTCTCGCCGAATATCCTCAATGGGTTGCAATACCGATCTGATGTTAGATTCAGCGATGGTAGTGCTAGCAAGTTCTCTTAGGCTGAGCCCCATGAGTTCGCCCAACCAGTTACGCTGTAGCCGGAACCTAACCTGTACCTAACCATAACAAAACAACATATCGTATGTTCGGTTGGTTGTCCACCAACCGGTCATTGTTCTGTTAGCAACGTCATCAGGTTTGAGCCCCGTGAGCACACCTACCAGTTAAGACGACGCTGATATAGTCTCTTAAGGCTATCAGCTTAAGTACGAAAAAAAAAAGTCCTCCAACCAGTAATCAGTAAAAACATGTAACCTCTATACGATTTATCTTAAAAGAGGTTAATATGTTATAAAGATGACATAAATGAAATTTTGAATATTGAATCATCAGAAGAAGGAACATTAGAAATATAAAAGAAATTTGAGAGTTTTGAAATATAAAAAACATACAAAAGTGGTGAAGCTTTAAATGTTGTTTCTCTTTATAGAGCAACTCAATTTGTGCTATAATTTTACTAAGCTAAACTGTATTTTGATGTAAATAAAATAATACATTATAAACATATAGTCAATGAATGAAATGTAAGTCATTGCTCAGGTTTGTCTACGTTTGCCGCTAGGGGCGCTGTTCCAACTCCATACAAATATGAGTTAACTTTTACTGTATCGAGAACGTTAAAAAACTCGCACTAAGCACACTCGTGTCCGCCCAGCGGTCGAAAATCTTTAGGAAAATATTTAGATACGTTTTTTTTCTATTATTAGCGGGATATTTTTGAGGGAACGCGAAGAATGTAGTTGTGTGATATTTTTTTATGAATTAAGTATTTCTTCGAGTTTAAATGTGTAATAACAGAGGTTTATGAAATATTTAGCCTCTGTGAAAGTGCACAAATGTGGGAAAATTAAACAAAGCCGTCGGACATAACTTTTAACGTTCTTCCGAAAAATCTCCTGAAAAAGTTACAGTAAATAACCAAAATTTTACTGAGAATTTATTTCATCCCAATTGATTAAAGACAATTGATTAATCAACTGACCTAAACTATTTCGTTGCATATCACTTCTCATATAATAAATTTCATTTCTTATAATTACATAATCTAAGAAGAAAATATTAGACTTGGCTCAAAGGTCTCATAACTACTAACTATCTAAAAAGAAAAAAACGAAGTGATTTCCATATTTATTTATTCATTTTATATTCGTCGTTAGATGTTAATCTACCCTCTTTTCATTGTTGTGTATAATTTAGCTTCATCTACGAAAGGATTATATTTTTCATCCAATGCTGGCTCCAGAAATCTGCCCAATATTTCATTCTAGATTCGAACAGATTGTCCAGCATTTTCATCTCCACGTCTATGTTGAGATACGGTTGAGTACTTTCGGTTACAGGCACCCAGGCCACTGGCAGTAGATCGGTTCGACTTGGTGTTGGATTTCTGCAAAAAAAGTAGGTTTATTATTATCAGGAATTTTCCTGTCACTGTGTGGCTAAGCCACTGTGTAGCCAGGCCATTGAGTAGCCAAGCTTCATTGTAGTCAAAGCTCCGTGTAGCTAAGCCACAGTATAGCTAAGCATCTGAGCTACCCAGACATACTGTAGCTAAGTCAATTTGTATCCAACCTACTGTGTTGCTAAGACACATTGGAGCTAATTCACTCTCTGGTTAAGCCACTGTGTAGCCAAGACCCATAGCGACAATAACACGAAAGAATTCTGAACGATAAGGTTCAGCTCGTCCGAATAGAAACTAATTTGCCCTTGATCTCGCAACGAGCTTAGAGTTCAGTAGAAGTCGTAGAACCTTAGATTCCGATCTCCCTAACCACAAAATAGGAGACAATTACAGCTTAAAAGGCACCGGGAACTAAGATTTGTAGTCAAGAGAGGCTCAACACAAGCTATTTATGTATATAGAATGGAGTTACCGTACTATGACTACAACATTTCGACCAGTTGCCAAAAGGTTAACAAAATACACCAGATTTGATACCTCCAAATTTTTGCTATAACAGCGCGTCCTTTTTGCCAGAGATTATATTCCCATAGGAGGCGATGTCTACCCCTATATATCCTCGAGTGTAACGAAATCACAATATGACATGTACTATGAACCAATGAACTATGTCGGTGATTTTTGTTTTCTTTCGGATAACCTCGTTTCTATTTATCGTTTACCGAAATTACAATTGGATCCAATTCCAATCTCGTTCAATAGCTTGCTGAAAGACTTGGAACTATGGTAGGCAGCGGTTTGGCTCTGCCCCTGGCATCGCTGACGTCAATGAGCGACGGTGACCACTTACCATCAGGTGGGCCGTATGCTCGTCTGCCTACGAAGGCAATAAAAACTGGCGGAACTGCTTTACCGTCCACGTCTCGGCTCCACATGGCATAAGTAGTAGGACGCATATCTGGTAGGACGCACTGATTGAATACCTGATTACTTTTGTTTACAAGCATTCTGGTATGGCCGACGATAAGATTCTACGCAATCTTCCCATCAGAGAACACGAACGTTAGTAAATATAAGCATTTCTCACCCGAACTTCACGAAGTAAGCCCACATACTAGTCATTCGTTTCCTAAGTAACTGTTGCTCATCAGAATTGCCTTGCTCGTCCGTTTCGAATAAATATTGGAGCTCTTCGGTGTGATAAGCCCCCACACCAGGCACGTCCTTGAAGGGACTTCCGCCAGTATATGAAAATACATACTTGTATATCTTCTTCAGCCCTTTTCGGAGGTAGTTCTTAATTGACCATTCGACTGGGTAGTTCAACATGAAATCCGAACTGAAATCGCTTAGTTGTACATTAAATTCTCTTAGCTCCTTTGCGGTCAGACTACCATTCTTGCCTAAATAAAAGGCTTGAGTATTGTTAGATAGCTGATCTAGATCGTTCTCGCTTAGCACGAAATTATTTACGAATTTCTCTCGGAACACATTCGCCAGTCGCTCATAAAACTCTTCAGATTGGTTAGCGAATCTTGCAAAATTTTCGTTACTATTGTGACCGATCAAAACGGCTACGTCGTCACGTTTTACGAAATTCAAATGGAACGGGTCTTGAGTTATGAAATTCTCGGAACCGTTCATAATTTTTTCTTTACACGCTCCTAGCTTCAAACCGATATCTTTGGCGGCTTTCACAACTGTTAGACTGTCTCTTGTGGCTAGACATTTCAGGGCGTCTTTGGTATTATTGGTGGAGCATCCCAATTGCCCTGATAGTTTAATCGCTGCGTTCAAATCACTTTTGACAAACGCTCCTTCGGCATACATCGAGCCGCTCTGTATGATTACTTTATCAAACAGCTTAACATCTGATGAGTACATGTGGAGGTCGACGGCTCCTCCTCCGTAACTCTGACCTCCAATCGTCACTTTACTCTTATCACCTCCAAAATCGCCAATGTTAGCTTGGACCCATTTCAAGGCGGTTACCTGGTCTTTCAAGCCTTGGTTACCCGGAACTTCTTCGTCCAAACAGAGAAAGCCATACGGCCCGAGTCGGTAATTGACTGTGACCACGATAATACCGTGTTGGGTGAGATGTTTGCCACCGTATTCGCCAGCGCTTCCGATTTTGAAACCTCCACCGTGGAACCAAACGACGACCGGCACAGTTTGAGTGGCATTGGCATTTGCGGGCACGTATATATTGAGGGTGAGGCATTGTTGCGTACCCCCGATGACGCGGCCTACTTGCGGACATCTTGTTGATGGGTTGGAAGCTTCAAAAGGTGCCTCAAAGTATGGATAGGGAAGTGAATTCTGAAAAGAATTGTTAAGAAATTAAGGAATAATAATAAAACATACATATTTATGGCTTTACCGAACTTTAAACCGAGGGTAGATAACAAATTTTGACATTAGACATTTATGTTTTATTGACATTTAGGTAAGTTTGAAATAAATGAATGAAATAAAGATACTTGCAGTTGACATTTTAATTGAATTAAAAGTAAATTAATGTAAATATTTAACACAAATTATAAATTTTTAATTATCATATAGGTACATTTTAATTATATCATATAAAATAAAAATATATAATTAAATAAAAGTACACAATATATAATACTGTCACACATAATGTGATTTTCACTTAGTAGTGACATTTTCTTTATAACAACCTAGCTGACCCGGCAGACTTCGTAGTGCCTCAATCGATAAATAAAAGACCTAAGCTTTTATATAAAATAAGCTTAAAAAAAACAATAGGAATCCGTCCGATAGGGGGGGACACGTCAACGGAAAAACAAAATTGTTATTTTTATTTAATTCCGAGCATTTTCATATTTATCTACCTTTTAATCCTTCTCTGGACTTCCACAAATAATTTAAGATCAAAATTAGCCAAATCGGTCCAGCCGTTCTAGAGTTTTAGCGAGACTAACGAACAGCAATTCATTTTTAACTAGTCAGGTCATACGTATTGTCACACAGTAAAAACTTTTCTTTTAGAATGCTGGCCACAAAAAAGTTTATTGAATTCGAATTTCGAATTGTTCATGAAAATAAAAATGTATAATTTT